AATGCCTTCATATATTCGAAATTGTGAACTGAATCATAAGTACTTTGTTTTTGTTTCCTTAAACCCAAAGACATGCATTTGATGGATTGTTTCTTGCCTTTATTATCTTATTACTAGCGGGCGCAATTTATTCAGAACGAATATTTAAACCGCTTCAGTGATTTTTACCCATATTCCTTTCGGTCCAGTCGCGTAGGCTTGAGCCGGTCGACGACAACGTTTTTTGAATTGACTGTATACGATGGTGTCTACTTCTAGACCGTGAAAACGCTATTTAATCATCTTTGAAAAGTAGGAAAAAATTTGGGGTAAATGATAAGCACTCCTGGTTTCACACAAGACCGAGAATGACGTCGAACGAATGAAGCAAAAAAAAAAAAAAAAATTATCAGAATATCTTCTTACAGATAAGTATACAAATATTCTATTCTCAGTTTTTCTGTTTTTGTATGACTAAACCAAAAACTAATTACAATTTTATTACGTGTTTCAGTGTCGAAAGGAAAATATTATGAGCTTAGCAGCCTAATCATCAAGATGGTATCAATCAAAAACGTTTCTTATAAGTAAGCAGATAATATTATATTCTTCCCCTTGCCTTCCCTTGCCTTCCCTTCTCTTCTCTTCCCTTCAATACCCTTCCCTTTTTTTATCTCCTTTTAATGTAAAGATATCGAACGTGGGCTATAGATCGTTTTTACTCGCGTGAGAAGGCAGCCATAAACAATAGAAACTTTCTTCACAGTATCTGCATAAAAATAGTGTCCAATTCCCGGAGGATAGAAAATGTATTAGTGTACCCCATAATGGCCGCTGTGACGTCACGTGAAAACGCTCTATTGAGCTCTGATACGGAACAGTAATACTGTAATAATGAAGTGCATCCATGCAACTGATTAATTTTATTTAAAAAATCAGAAACTAATATAATAAATAAATTGCATAAGATTACATAATACAACGTCATTTCAAGATGTAATATTGGCTTGCGGTATAGAATTTCAAAAATATAGGATAACTAAGATTTATCTAAAATAATAATTTAAAAAATTTGATTATTATTTATATGTATGAATATTATTTTCATCACCGTATTGGTTGGTATGCCACTTCCCCTATTGTGTATGATCGTTCAACTGGTTCAACTACAGACATCAATAGGTTACCCTCTAATGATTCTGGCGGAACAATCTGATCAGAATAAACGAGGAGTGGTAGTCGACAGTTGGGTGTGAAGTTGTTTATACTGAGTCCTATAACTTTGTACCTACGTGGTTTACAAGACATTTTTACTTCAAAAACTTTCTCAAAATATCAAGCCATGGACAGACGTAAGTACCCTAGAATTCATGTTTTCTAACGATTTTGTGGAATGTCGAGCGCGCCAATTTTTACCCCCTACTGAGACGCCGTCCACGCGCAAATGCACTGATTATTGTCGTTATATTTGTGTGGTGCTTTGAAGAAATCTGGCAGTGGTCTCCGGTAAAATTCATTTTACCATTAAATAAAGGTTGGTTTGAAGGAGGAATTTTTGTTTTTACCTTAGAGGTAGCAGCAGTTAGGGGGACCCGCGGAGGGGGTACCGTATGAGTCGGGTATTGCCCCCGCCAAGTACCATCCAGCTCCCGCGGGTATTACCCGTAAGGTCCCTATGTGTATTGCCTGCGTAATTCGATTTGAAAAGCTCTCTACGGGTTTTATCGGTGCCCCGCATTACTAAGTTAAAATATTTGTTCTTAGTGTCGCAAACGAAGGTTAGAATATTTCCTAGATATAGATGGACGCCATCAAAAGCATTCAAAACAAAACTGTACGCAAGCTGCGAACCCAGGTATTGGATCGTTTGGACGCCGACTTCGCCTTCACGACATTCACAGAAGGAGACACAGAAGAAATCATGGACGAAGAAAGAGCCGAAAAGAATAAACCTGATGCCTGAAGGTAATTACCGCTTAAAGTTAACGTTTATAAAGTATTACGACGGTGAATGGATAATAGAAAGGGGTCGTAACCCAATCCGGGCGTCTGGTAAGCAAAGCTTATTTGTCTTAAACAAAAATACCAGGCCTGGGGCGCTGGTAGGCATCGACGTGTTATTCTACGAAGTTGCTTACCCTGTTACAGTAGTAATCTACGGTGCGTATGAGATTAAGGAGCCAGACGTTAGGAAACTCAAACCAATGCGACATCCCGGCAACTGCGTAGGAAAGTTAGTCAGGGAATTCTTCGAAGATTCCTCCCGGGGTGGTAAGCTTACCCCAAAAAGAAGAGAAGCCAACAGAAAGTGGGAGCTTGCTACTCATAGGGCCGGAGCAACCATAGAAAACGTAAAGAAGTTAGAAACTGCCTTAGAAAGGCGCATCGTAGTCAAAGATATCACAGACGGTTACATCTATCCCGGGACACATAAATATGGCGGCAGAGGTGCTCCTATTGTCATTTATCAACACAATGCGCATGCTTGGAGAGAACTAAGATTTCCTGAAAAGAAAGAGACAAAGGTCTACGAGAGTTCTCCATTGGTGGAGTTAATCCATGAGAATTCTATTTGGTT